GAATCAATTCGCAGCCTCTGCAGCACGAGTTCCATCCCCAGCTGGCCAGGTAGCAGCCCACATGGCGCAGCAGACCTCTCCTGATTTGCCTGCTGCTCCCCTCAGCAATGTACTTCGGTCGATCTGCCTGTTCTGTTCCCCACTCTGTCTCTGGTGAATCCTCTCACCCTCCGCATCTCTGGCCTGTACCCCAGCTCTTGTGTGCGTAAATAAATAAATCTTTAAAAAAATGATGGAACACAAACCATCTCTTAATTTTCCTAGATTAAAGTAACTACTTTATAAATTTATTATGGGTAAGATGTATAAAGATCTTGGAATATGTTCATTTCTACAGTAGGGCGGCAGCATCTGATTAACACTAATTACTTCAAAAGGAAAGGAACTAAATATCAAATCTGATACTATTCAGGTGTGACATGTCGAAGTTGTAACTTTTTGAAAATTACCTTAGATGAAGTAATGTGGCTGAATTTCTCATTCGAGGAGGGCATTATCTTGACACATCTTCCTCAACTCTACAAAATTCATGGACAAGGGATTGATTAGCTGCCCTTTGTGCTATATACCATTGTTGTAGAAAGCTGAAACTACAAGTGCATAATTGGGACCGTTTTCCATTTTCTTTTGATGGCAAAGAATGGAAATTTTTCATTCCACATTAATAATCACCTCTGTAGATGCATCACAAACCACTTCAAAACTTAGTGATTTAAAACGCCAACCATATATTTAGCTTATAATTCTGAAGGTTGGCTTGGTTTATTACTCATGGTTGTAGTGGTGGTCAGAGAAAGAGCAGAAGTAAGCAAGTCCTCTGTAGACTAGCCTCAGAACCGCGGCACTTCCTTCTATTGTATTCTGGGGGCTAAAGAAGTCATAAAAATAGCTGATTCAAAGAGCACGGACATAGATTCCACCTATTGATGGGAGATGCTAAAAAGCAACATACTGCAAATGGTGCTGTTGTCTTTTTCTGTGCTTTTTTGTATTCTCCTTAGATGATGGGAGAGGCTGACTGGGGGGTTTTACTAAGCTGCCTTTTTAAACTTTTGTTGCTGTTGTTGTTGTTAATCACAGTGACGTATGAAAAATTGGGGTCATTTTTTACCAGCAGTCTACTCCAGTTAGGTGATGTGCTTAAAACACTATCTTCTCGTCAGTGTAGATTTTAATTTTGCTATTATAAAATTATGTCACCCAGCTTCCTTTTTTCTCATTCCATTGTCCTGTGTCTTGTACTATTTTTCTCTTTATAACACTGTTATTTTTGGTCTCTTGCGATCTTTATTCTTGTCCCTGGTAAATAAAAATTTTTCTAAAATTATCTTTTGGTTTCTCATTAAATCTTATGCACAAATCTGTTTGCTGCACCTTCAGGATTTTTCCCCCTCCTGTGTCAGAGTATTTCTACTCATATCCACCTTGGTTTTTCCTTTTAGAACACTGTTGTCATTTGTCAGCAGGGCACATGGCTGCTTCCCACTACCTACTTAGGTTTTATTGCCTTCTCAGGTCTGCATCAGAAGAATACATTTACTTGTTTTATATAGTTCCCAGTGATTGGCAGGCAGTCATCAAATGTGACTTTGCTAAATTAAACTAGGATCATCTGCTATCATTCTATGTTTGCCTGGTTTTGGGGCACTTTAAAAAGATGAAGTATATGGGAAAACCTTATTTCTTAACAAGCTGTTTCCAAGAGGATTTTTCCTGTATTCTTCTCTGACAGGGGCACATGGTACATCTCTAGAAGTTCTCATGCAAATATTGAACCTTCTTAGTTGAAGTGAACCATTGGTAGTATCCCCTCTATCTTCTGATATTTTTTTTTTAAATTGGGAATTACATTTAAATGGATGTATAAAGAGTTATGCCATTCAGGGGTGAGAATGAGTTGCAGAAGTAGGCAGCTTCATAAAACCATCCTTCTGATATGCAATCTTTCCTTTAAATAGCAGGCAGAAAAAGGGAGAACTAAAATGCTGCCTTTTTTTTTTTTTTTAAGTTTTTTTTTTTATTTATTTATATAGGAGCTGGGTTACAGGCCAAATGTGCGGGAGGGTGAAAAGATTCACCAGAGACAGAGGAAGGAGCAGAAAAGGCAGATCTACTGAAATACACTACTGAAGGGAGCAGTGGACGAGGCAGGAGAGGTCTACCTCACCATGTGGGTATCTCCCTGGCTGGCAGGGAATCAAACCCACGCTGCCGAGGCTGCGGACAGCTTCACAGCACTGCTCTCAACCCACTGTGCCACAGAGAGGCCCCTAAAGTGCATTCTCAGCTGACAAAATTACTGTTTCCTGGAGAAAAGCAATACTTTGCATCATGTGAGATAATCAGGAAGTTGGATCCATCATTATTTTGTTTCTTGAACTGGCTTCTAGAACTTTTAGATAGTGAAGCTGAGGTTATTCATCAGAGATTAAATTAATAGAGTATGATGTTTTTTACTGTGTGTTCATATGTATATTCCTGAGAACATGTTAGAGGCATTACTGGGAGAATCTTATCTCAATACCATATTAAGCTATGAGTCCAAACTGTAGTTAATTTTCATTTTCCATTTTTGTTAATCAAAAATTTGTAGTGAATATAGAATTGAATATAGAATTAAAAACACAGGAACTGCAAATAACATTTGAAAGAGTGAGATTTGCTCCTTTTTTTAGCTTGTGCAATATTTCAATATGAATGAATATACCATTTCATTATAATTTTGTAGTAATTACATATATTTCTTAGTCTTCCATTATTACTTTCAAAGTTTGCTGTTAGGGAACCACAGCTCTTGTACTTTGCTTTTGTGTGCTGAGCATCAGTGGCCTAGATGGGACACATCTCATTGATGGGCCAGGAAGCAATGGCTCCAGAGTTCTCTGAGTCAGCCTTTGGAATAACGTATCAAAATAGCTGCCAGGACCAATTGTTGAATCTTCAGAAAAATGATCATTCCAGAGAAACCACAGTTGTCTTCTCTCTGGCAACTGTTTCAGGCTGTGAAATTTATGATCTAATAGTAAAAACTACGCCTTAGGGAATCCATTTTATTGGAAAATTACTAGTTCTGTGGCTGCAGAAATAAGATTTGCTAGTAACTACTTGATTATTATTTCAATAATCCCTAATGACTCATAGAACTTCAGTGATGTTTACCATTTTTTATGACTTGGTTTAAATACCACCTGAAAGTCACAGTGCTCTTGAACTCCTGAAAGTTAATACCCCTCTACTCTTCTAGCACTAAAATTCACTAAATTGGCTGTAAAACAGTTGTGTATATTGCCTGTCCTTCCATTGTTAAGAGTTCAGTTTAATGCCAAATTGTGATAATATTTAATTTTTCAAAAGCATTGATGTGTGTGCTTGTGTGTGTTCAAGTACCATATGAATCAGAGACCCTGAGCTTTTGGGAAAAATCTGAATTTTGTCTTCTCAACTAGGTCAGTATTCTAAACTGGATTCCATAACTGAACACCTTTAGGGTGCTGTATAAAGGTATATTTCCCCTAAAAATGAATATTGGTAATCTCCCAGCCCATGAAAAAATAATATTTTTGATCTTCATCTTTTTCATTTGATTAGTAGAAAATAAACAGAACAGAAAGTGAGCAATAGTCAGTTGTCTTTAGTTCACTTTTTTCTTTCTTTTTTTTTTTTTAAGGAGAACTCTTGTTTTTTTGTTTATTTATTTATACAAGCACGGGGTACAGTCAGAAGCGCAGGAGGGTGAGAGAATTCACCAGATCCAGAGTGGGGAGCAGAGCAGGCAGAAGGACCAAAGTACATTGCTGAGGGGAGCAGCGGGCGGCAGGAGAGGTCTGCATGCCATGTGGGACCCTCCTCTGGTGGCCGGGGAGCAACCGGGGATCGAACCGGCGCTGCAGAGGCCGCGGGCAGCTTCGCAACCCAGTGCTCAACCTCTGCGCCAGCGGGGAGGCCCTAGTTCACTTACTTCTTTCATTGTCATAGCTTGTGATGCTTTAGATTAATTATTCTAGATTTCCTACTGGAATTAAATTAATATTTTTCACAGTGTTGCACAAAGAGTTCTGGGACTTCCAACTCTGCCATCTGATATGGTTCTCAAACCATAGAACTTATCATCTTGTAAGGTACTTAGAGGGCAAGGACTGTCGTCATCATCATCCCCACACATATGCTCAGAAACAATTGTAGACTTTGGAGTGGAAAGTTACATAAGGAAAAGTTCGATTTTTTGGTTATTTGTGAAGTTTTCAAGAAGGAGTGGTGGAGGATAGGAATAGATATGGCATTGAAATTGGAATGTAACTGCTGTAAACAAATGTTACTGATTGAGAAACTTAAAGTGAGTAAGTGGTTTGGCAGGTAACGATAGCCTGTAGTGAAGTTTGTTAGTTGTATGTGAGTCGGAATTTATTGTAGAGTTCCATTTTAGTGATGTAAATTTTGGGAGTCATAAGCCTGTTTACAGGATATAGGTGTCACCTAGAGATATTGTATAAAAGGAGATAATAAATACTGAAGACAGAGCTTTAAAGAACACTAGCATTTAAGGAGCAAAGAACACTAGAAAGGAATGGCCCGAAAAGTAGACTAAAAACATGAAATTATAACTAACTGGAGCTAAGGGAGAGTTTCAGAAGGGAAGGCAAAAGTTGCTGAAAAATCACCCAATTGAAAATCTATAAATACAATCTCCATTCATAGAATGAAAAGAAAAATAGAATTTCATTTTATCACAATATTCCTTGAAATGTTATTAGTGGGTTTATAATATTGTATACAGAAGTAACTACTAGGTATTTTAAATCATAGGAGATGAGCTGCTTAGAGCTGTAAAGTAAATATGATTGTTCTCGAAGCAGTGATTTAGTTGATTATGAAATATGTCCCAATACATTTAATTTGGTTAAATAATCCCACTTAGAGCACAACCAGTGAAATTTCTATATGCCACCAGTGTTTGCATATTTACTTACTGTTAAATTTACCATCTCTTTGCTGTTTTACAGAAACCAAAGCTGAAAGACTGGCATCCCCCTGGGGGTTTTATTCTGGGACTGTGGGCACTCATTATCATGGTTTTCTTCAAAACTTATGGAATCAAGCATATGAAGTTCATTTTCTAGACCCACTGATGTATGAAGAAGACAGTGTAGAAGACTGTGATCTTGGATACAAGTTTATTGTCATTATATATTTTGTAAAAATACATTGCTGTTGTGTAAATTGGCAAAATTTATAAGGAAGCTGTACATTTTAATGAACTATTGACTTTGTAACTTAAAGAAAAATAATTGATGAACTCTCCTGTCCATCTGTGACTATGCAGGTACCTCTCTTTTTATTTCTCCTTTTCCTGGTAAACCTGCCCCTTTAAAATGTAAAAAAAAAAAAAGTTCAGTATTTATCGGCTTTTCTTTGAAAATAACAATTTCTCCTATCCTCTTTTCATTTGGAAAAGAAAAAAAAATGTGAAGACAGTAAATTTCGTTAGCAGAGGTACTTCTGTTAGTAGTTTGTGTATGTTCTCCCAATCATTTTTTTCTATGTACATATTTTTCTTTCAAAATAGAAATCATATGGAATATACCATTTTGAAACATTGCTTTGCATTTGACAGTATGTTAATCAACCCTTTCCTTCTGGAATATTCTTCAAGTGTACACTGTAAATGGCTGCACAGTATCTATTTTTTGTTAAGTTTGACAACTTGTTTCAAAATTTTCCTTTTTGTTCATGCTTTAATGTGTTAATATTTTACTGTCAATCATTCATAGAATTTTGCACCTTTAATTATAAGAAAATATGAAAATTAAGTTCTTTATGATCTGAAAGTCTCCAGAACATACTTCGTTATCACCTTATCTGAAAAATCGAAGACCTTTGGGAATTTTACCTACTGACTGCTCAAGAGAAACAAATTCCATTTCTAAGCATTCTGTGACTCCTAGACCTGATCCCCCAATGTCACATTGAAAGAGACATTATTTCATTCTCTCTTCCAGTGGATGGATCTCCTCTTTTCCTGAGAGAGTCCCATGAAGCGGGTGGACTACATGGACGATTCACACTTAGGGCTGCCTTCTTGTCTGACAAGTATGTCACATAAGGTGGCACGTCCCTTTTCTTGCCTCTGACAAGATGCGAGAGCACATATCCCATCACTGATTGTTTAGTTCAACAGTCATCATCTCATCTTCCTCATAACTGGATTATGCTTTCCTACTGACCCCACATGTATTGTCTTTTCTTTTAAAAAACTTTGCCTATAAGGAGGAAAGATGCTGAAAGTTGAGTATTCATGTTATGCAGGATACCTTTCTTTTGTATGTTATCTGTTTTTCCCAAGAATTTATGTGTTAATTTGTATCCATTACAAAGATCTGTTTTACAATTGCAGGTAACATTAAGAAGACAACTCTTCCTCCATAATAAAACCTCTTAAAATTAAATTCCTTAGGATTTGTTTTCCTTTTAACACTTAAAATATTACCCTCTAATTACATGCAAAATGGTTATACTTTTCACAGGCAAAGGATTAACTGTCATTTCCCACGTTAGAACAAATGATGGTTGAGACTTTTTGCCAGCTCTGATTCTTCATTTTAATTGAATTTTTTATTGGTGCCCTACATAAATGAAGATGGTAATTTTTTATATGATTCTATGGTGAAAGATCTGTTTGCACATAGAAGGAAAACAAACTTAAATTTGATTGCCGGAATGATAGTAGCCCTAAGAGACAAAAAGGTTGACCATGTCACCCTCCAAATATTTAGACAAGGTCATGAACACTGTGCTGGGATGGAACTCCGTAGAGTGGCAAAGGAAATATGATTGTTCTTGAGCCAAAGTCATTTAGTCTGAATGTAATGAAACATACCCTGATGGTTAAAACTGCTGGAAAGTAAAAGGATTTCTCTTCAGAGGCTGCAGAAGGTGCCCTTCTTAGTTAAAACCAAACTGGGAAAAGCAATACTGGATATAATACATGGGATTAATTTTATCAGGTTGAGTTTCAAAGGGCAGTTATTTCTCTGTTACTGAATTGTCAGAATATACTTAATGCAAAAAGCTTAAAATATGTTCATTGTTTAGCTTGTAACCATACTCTTTTTTTTTTTTGTATTAAGTATATTCTGTCTTCAATAAAGAAATCCTCTACATGTGGTAAGTGGGTGATGTGAGTGCAATTAAATGGCCCAGACTTTACATTACATGATAATGTAAAAACACATCTTTAGCTATACTGTATTTGTGTCACAAAGCTGAACAACTGAAGGAGTTTTCTTTTTGCCTTTCCCACGATGTTGAGAGATAATGTTATCACTAAACACTTTGAAAATTATAACTATATAAATTACAAATATATAAATATATTTTTCTTATTTCTGTTTAGAAAGATACCAAGGAAGAAGTTAATGGTGCCAGCGTCCCTCTTTCTGTTGCACGTATCCACCTTTCCAGGCTATTCAGTGTCATTTTTGTTCTCTTTGGTTTTCTTCTGTTCCTCCCCTACTGTATACTTCAGAGAGAAAAAGAATATAGATAAATGGATCTCAGCAGATCTTTTGGGGGGAGGGACAGGGTATAATGATACCATCCTGCAAAGGCAGCTTGCATGAGAAAAAGAAACCAAATGATGTGGATTTTAAAATTATAAGACACTCATTTGCAGTTTATGAAAGGGAAATATAGTTTGGATGCAAAGCTGATTAAGTTGGATCAAAAAAATTGGAATTAAATACCTAAAATAATGTATGCATTTATGGTTTCAATTTTTATATATCCTCAGCTAGTTGAAAATGATGGTTCCCACAACAAGCATAACTCAGCTTGTTTCTGCTTACTGAGTATTTTCTACTATGGTATATATTGATAACATTTCTTCCATTATGTATGTTGTATAGCAGAATTACAGTTACTGTGGGAATCATAATTTGAAATTTTGACTCATGCGTTCCTAGAATCTTTACAACAAATGTTGCATTAACATAGAACTTTTTTCATTGATATGACCAAAATCAAATCCATCTGTAGCATATACTGTTTTAACTTGTGAAAGAAATATTTTATAAACAACACAAGGTGTGTTTATAAAATAATGAGGTTAATCGCATGGTTTCACTTATAGCAGGAGTATAGGGGAACCAAATAAGACAGCAGTGTAAAAAAATAATAACAGTACAAAGCACAACAAAGCAAAGACAGACAATTATAAATCAGAGACATCCTGCAGGGGAGGAGGAGGGAGAGGGATGAGAGGGAGGGAGGGAGGAGCCCAGGGGACTGAGGTGATGGTGCATGGGAGCATCGGTGAAGGAAATTCTATGGAAACTACACCTGAGGGGGTGGGGGGAAGCAAATATGGTTTAAAAACGAACAATGGTGTAAAAAATTAAAAAAAAATAAATAAATAATAAAATTGTATATAAAATAATGTATCCATTTTGGCTTTATGGAATAAGTGTCATTACTTCATTGTTGCATCCCTTATCGAAGATTTACCATACCAAAAAGAAAAAGTGTTCTCCAGCATAGCTGGGCTGTTTGCTCTGTCTGTACTCATACCATTGGGTAAATACAAAAGTCTTTTGTGGACAGTGTATCTTGGTAGTGATATTTTTTTCCTTCCATGCAAAAATGTGAATGTTCATGTAAATGTGCTGTATGATATTCCATTTAATTTCACTCTGTCACCCCTTGAATATGGATTGACATAGATGGTGTGACCAAGAAACCGTGGTTAGAGTTCTGTTTATTCCCAGTGTGGAAAGGCGATCATTATCATTCTTGCTTCACCTGGGCTTGCTTGCAACCTTAGAGACTTCAGAGGACTGTCAGATTTGCCCAAGGTCTACCCAAGCCTAGAGTCTACCGGTGGGTCTCATATGATCTGACCCCTTTTCATGTGATAGAACCCTCTTCTCACCATTGATGTGCCAACTCTGACAGCTGCTAAAGTTTCAGGGATATGAGCAATGGTGGATATTTTTCTTATGGGTTTTTAAGATCATAAATGTAAAGCACATCATGCGTAGGAAGAGGTCAAAGTTTTGTTCTTTGCTAGGCAGGATCCTACCTAGCTTTTCTTTTTAGTTTCCACTCGGCTCAGGGATCCCTCTTGAAAGAACATTAACCTTGGTGCCCCAAGACTCTCCTGCTCACTTCTGTTTTCATCAGGAGTCATTTTCGGCTGACAGTTTCTTTTAACTTTGCTTCAATGCTACCCAAAATTTCAATTCGTAGACTCTTGCTTCTCTTTCCTGTTGAGTTTTTCTTTCTCAGTTTTAGATAGGTTGAGGCTTTTCACAGTCTTATCCTTTTATGGCTAATCTGCTTTGTTGCAAACACCATTAGCATGATTTAATGGACCATCTCTCCTCACCCTAGACCCCAGGGTGATAATGCAGTGTGAATTTCTCCTTATTCCTCCAACACAGTGGGTACTGTAATTCCAGGAAAAGACATCCCCCCTTACTCCCTCATCTTAGAACTTTTTAAGTTTTAAATGACAGAAACCCAACTAGAACAAATTTAGAGAAAGAGGGAGAAGGTGCTAGAGGGATATTAAGAATGGACTGCAGAACCCCAACACAGTAACACAATGCTAGAGCAACGGACCAAAGCTGGGGTCAGGATGGCAGACCAGGTAACACTGGAAACTCCGTGGGCCTCAGTAACCTAGGAGACCCCACAGACTTAAACCAATCAGTAAGAGACACAATGCAGACACCCAATAACTGAAACCCCACTCCTTGGCCACTGCTTCCATATAAACACCTGCTTCTTACACCCACAGTGGCAACTTATTCGGGACCCTTCTCTGCTTGGAGAGCTTTCCTGTGCTTTTCCTTATCTGCCAGTGAACTTGCTTTTCTGCCTAACTCTGGTCTTGTTCAATTCCTTCCTCACTGAGATAAGAAGCAACAGAGCCCCTGGGAATCCCAGGACCCTCCAGGCCTGATTCATCTGGTCTTTTGCCCTGAGAACAGCAGCTGCTTCTAGGGTTCTCTCTTTCAGCTCGGTGGATGGTAATAGTGCCTGACACTTGCTGATCCTCTATTCTTTAGCATTCTCTTTCTCACCAGCAAATCCTCCTTAAGCTAATTCTTGTTTAGCTCACTATGTGACTGCTGTGTCCTGACTGGACTTTGACAGATGCACTTCTTTACAGAACCAGATGGCATTAAATGGTGGGATTCTTGGTCACAGCCATTTAAATTGTTCAGATTATCTCTGGGCTTAAGGGAAAGTCTTCTCTTCCAGAGAGGT